CATAATAATTTAAATATAGATTGAACTGATGTTATTTATCTTTCTGTTAGAGATGTTGTCTGTGTAGCCACTCACAGAAGCTTATCCTAACTCCTTTTACACACTGTCAACAATCATAACATAGCACTACATGCTGAGTGTACCAATACCTTGACAGCCTGAACCTGTGCTATAATACAGTCAATTAGAAATGATCATACTTATCATTTAAATAATTTTTTTCCCACTTACCAGTTTAGTTTAAACCCCTGAGTGTATAAAATTAAATATCGTTCATTAACAGAATTAAAGCCTTCTTGAGTTTTTAGTATAAAGCTAGCCTAAGTCTTGTCTAAATTTATTTATTTTTTAAACTTCAGTGCATCTTAAACAAATATTTAAGTTTTCCTTCCATTGCTACGATTTAAAAGTCATTTAGATGAGATGTCAGAGAAAATTACAAATTTTCTGAGTTTTTTTGCCTTTCTACAAGATAGAGGACAGATATACCTTTTTGTTGTAGTACATTTTTAATCTGAGATTTTTTTCTACAAATACTGTTCAATTTTAAAGCTGTATTATTATTTTTTGTACCATCTTCCTACCAACCCAAGTGTAATTTTTGATTATTGAAACTAAAGCACATGAAATAACTGGAGCAATAGGTGAACAATGTCTCAGTCTGCAGTGGTGAGCTTCTCCTTTAGTTGTACAGTTTTACTACACATGGTGCTGTCAGTGCTTTGGTGGTGGGTGACTGATGTCAGAGCTGCAAACGCTGACAGCCCTGTGCGACTTTCACGAACCCAGTTCAACCCACGTTTCTGCAGCCGTGACCTCATTTAATCATCGAGTTGTGCACAACCTCTCTGGGCGAGCCTGCCCCACAGCCGTCAGGATCAAAGAGAGATTGGTAGTAGTGAGTCAAGTCAACCTTTATTGAGTTCTGAAAATATGTGGAGCACAGAGAGAGAGAGAGAGAGAGAGAGAGAGAGAGAGAGAGAGAGAGAGAGAGAGAGAGAGAGAGAGAAAAAGACACATGAGTGCAGAGAGTTTTGCTTTAACTCATCCCTCTGCTATGCTGCCTTCATAGCTTTCATCTCCTGCCTCGTGTTTTTCTCCCTCCACCTTCCTCTACACCATCCAGGCCTCAGAGGGTCTCCCATCTCCTTCCCATTTCTCTCTCCTCCACTTCTTATCATTTTAGTTTTCTGGCTTCCTGCCTCTATCGCTTTCCTGTCTCTAGATTGGATGTATCATCTCCCCTAACATCACTACACTTAATCTCCTTTGACATCTCTGATGTTTTGTGTCATTCATTCACAGTCTGAAGTGTGGTTGAACCGCATTTCTAAAACCCACACAATATCAAAGTAAACCAATGAATGTTCTCCTATTTTTGGATATAGCTACAGCATATGGATCGCTTGTAGATACATTAATGTTAATTTCTTTAAAAGAAGCTGAACAATACCCTTTATTCTGGCAAAAAAAGTAAATTGTGATTAGCAAATTGTGATTAAATAAATGTATAGTGGAGGATGTTCTTTTTCCAGGTGGGTCATCAAACAATTGCAAATCTTCTTTTGGAACGTAAGGTTGTTTGAGCGATGCAAACAACAACTTTTAAACAGAGTGTGAAGGATAAATGTTTTTGTGCATGCTCTCACACACGTTTAATAGGCGTTTTCTCTCGGGAGCATGTACAGGGTTGTGTATGTGCATGTTTCTTAAAAGTGGAGAGGGCGTGTCTTTTCAAAAATTCACAAAAATCCTCCACTATACCTTTAAGTCTTCAAGAGTATTGCTAATTTTACATTGTGTTGTACAATAAATATTTTATTTATAAAGTGCTTTAAAATGGCTAAAACTAATGCTAAACCTAAACGGAAAACTATAAAACATACATTAGGGGAAATAATGTATGGATACAGCAAAGGAACAATTAAAAAGAATAGTTACACCAGTTAATACCAAATAGTGTTAAAAGCCAGAAATGAAACAGGTTTTTTTTCTTAGCTTTTAAATTAGGCAGTGAGGTACTTTACCCATTTTTCAAATGTTTATTTCATCACTGGGAGCCAAAAATAGAGGCAGCCCTGGCCCCTCTGAGCATCCATCCAGATCTCGGTACCTGCAGGAGCTGCTGTTCAGCAGACCTGGAGCTCAAATTTATGGAGGGGGCAAGGTCAATCAAACAATAAAAAAAAAAAAAAAATATATATATATATATATATATATATAATAAAAGCATTAGAAGAATTTTTTTCCATATAATTCACATCCTCCACAATGTCAGGGGGCAACCAGCCTTCCTAATGCCAACCCCCCCTTTAAAGTAACAAATCACAAGTCTCTAAACAATTAGTTTTACATTATATGTCCTATTTTCTTTCTCTACTTTACTGTTTCTATCTTACGACAGAGTTCCTAATGAATCTGTGCAAAAAAAAAACTTTTTGACATGCAGGAGGCATTGCTCTGTCACAGACTTCAGCTATTGCATGATATTAGAATGTTATGCTTAAAAAAACCAGTAACATTTTCATCATATTGTTAAAATAGTTGAACTATTATAAAACTTTAAGCGAAGCTCTGCAGAGAGCGGGTAAGAGATATGATGTAATACTCTTATCCAGTGAGAGACATGTCAAAAAGAAAACTCTAACATGAGTTAAATAAAGAAAATATCATAATCCTTTTTTTACCCCAAACATAGGCACCTTTTACAGTTACTCTTGACATTGTATTAAATTTTAACTTTCTTGCCTTGAATTTCCACCCAGTAACCCCCTAAATGTCAGTGCTGTTCCCCGCTGCTGCTTTTCATCATCTCCTCCCTGTGTTGGATTACTTATGGTTGGCTGTAGTGCCATTTTCAATGAGTGATCACAGGCCTGAGGACACAAGATGATGGCTTAGTAGCTTGGACGAAAAAATAAGCCTGACCAGGACTTAAGTGAATTGCTGAGTGTTGGCAAAATCGGGCACAAAAAGATTTATGTTGAGATGTGTTTAACGGTTGCCTCAGCCTCGCTGCCAAAGTCAAATAAGGTTACGCTGCAGGTTATTTGAGCTGCTCTGGTTTTGATGTGCTTCAATTTAAGCAACAAGGAATTTCAAACAATTTCCCTCATTCAAATATATCGGAGAGGAAGAAATGTTGATCTAGCAAAGAAAATGCAAAGTAAGATTTAAGGAATGATGAGTTTTATTCAGCTTAACCAAAATCCCGCCACTGAATGAAACATGGAGTTGACATTCAAAACTAAACAACGTGGCATATTCTTGATTTGAAGTTAAATCACAGAGAGAAGCCTATATGGACTTTTATGAGCTATAAATGTTGATATAGTGCCCATATTCTTCTAGCTGTGTGTGCATGTTGTTGTGTGTACATGCATTTAAAACCAAAAGGATGTTTTCTTTTTTGAAAGAACATGGCTGTTAATACACCCAGAGATTAGCTCTATTAAGTGGACCATCAAAGGCAGGAATGCATCTGAGCTACCCCTGCTTTCTCTATACCACATTGACTTTTGCTTCCCTTTTTTTGACAACTGACTCTCAAAGATTGTTAGAAAATTTGATTTTACCAAAGCCAGTTTCCACTATGCTGTTTTTTTAACTAGTATCTGCTGATGGTAGGTTAATACTCCTCCTGCAGGTAAGTTGCTGCTGTAGTTTCACTTATCCTGTAATGAATATTTCTATATGTGAATAAAGTAACAAATGTCAACGAAACAATGGAAATCAGATTATAACAGTATTTCTACCTATTGTTCAAATGCTGACAAAATTTCTACGAGTGAGAAGAATATTAATTCTAGTCACAAAATGAATTCAATGATTTTCAGCACAAAGTATAAGCCTTAATGTAACATTAGTTACACTTTATAATATATCAATTAGCTAAAAAACGCATATGAAACACTGTAACCATAACTGATACTTACCCACACAAACATCTGTGTTTACAGATGTAGAAAAAGCTCCAATCAGGACTACAGTCTGCTGTTCAACAGCCACAATTATTTAATAAACGAGCAGCAGTAATAATCTGATACTGAATGAAATTCCATTTTATCTCTCAGGTTTAAAAGAATCTACAGACTTTTTTTTTCTGCTCGTTTTATTTGTTTCCCTAATCCTAAAGGCAATAGAACATTGTGATAATACTGGAATATTCTGTTATTCAATTTCACAATTAAATTCCCTAAAAACAGCTTAGATTTTTTTCCAGAAAGGTTATTTTACCTTAGATGACATCAATTATTTAAGTGTTAACACTTTGAAATGTTTTTAATAAACACAAATCTGCTTAACATGCTACGGATGCAAAGAAAATAAAATAATAAAATGCGTTTTATTATTTGGGATTTACAGAAAATTTGGACGGTGAAGGGAATGATTTTGATGCCAGGGAAAACTCTAATAATTCAAGATGTTAGGAACATCTCAACCTCAAAACTCCAGTGGTAGGCCTATATCAGGCTTCTTCCTACACTGTGCTGTTTCGTGAAAAAATAAAGCCCCAGAAAACTACTGTAAATCCTGCAAAAGGTTCATGCCACGGAAATACACGTTTTGTGTAATAGTCCTATACAATAGACTGGAAGGCATGCCCCATGGTGGTGTGTTATAACACCGATATGAATCATCTTTCTGTCTCAGGGTTCTTCTGCTCTGAAAAGAAATAAAAGATGGTTATGGAGAGGGCTGATGAAAGCAAAGTGAGGATTAGAAAGAGAAAGCAGAGGGTTGGATAAAAGAGATGAAGCTGAGTTGAAAGCATCTGCTGAAGCAAGCCGTCCGTCTGCATGTAGGTGGCTACATGGAGGCAGATTAAACAGGAAAGGTGTTCAATAATCTCACTTGAATGTTAATCTGCTGAAATAAAAAGTGGATACAGCTTTTTTGCAAATGTCATAGGATGATCTGCTCTGACTCAGGATTCTGGATTCTGTTTCCCTCTAACCCTTTACCTTCTGCTTTTGCCCCACCTGCCTTCTGGGACACAGAGAAAGGTAACTGCCTTATTTCATTTGCTCTAAGTGTAATCTGCATCATTACTCATTATATAAGGACTTCAACCTATTCTGTGGAATCACGTTTCTCACTTTAGGAGTTAAATCGGGGCCTTTACTTTTGCCCCAAGTTATTGAAAGTACAGCAGCTACTGTAGGTGGTAAATCACCAACCAAGTCACACTGGCTGTTTCCCAAAGGGAGCTGCATGCTGTTCTGTTGCTTTGTGATTCCTTAGAGAGGGTACTGGAGTCATAAAATAATCATTTGTGGCAAGAGAGGCAAGGCCACTCATGCTGCTTTCGACAACGCACCCCTGAAATGTCCCTGAAGGAGGGACACATCCTATCATTTTCCTTCCCAGGCCACAGGCGGAGAACATTATCGATCCAAATTGTGTGAGCACACAATTAAGCAGCGGAGAAAGGCCCGATAATGGACTCATAAACACAAAGAGCCCGCTGTGATAAATGCCAGCTGTAGTTGCCATAATTCTGTTTGTGTCCATAGCTTCTTTGGCATGTATGAGGGGATGTTTGTGTGCATCCGGAGACTCTGCCATCCAGTTGGCTTCCTATCATGTTACCACACCCTCCTGCCTGATTACCCATTGTCATCTCCGTCCACAGCTGTGAGCTCATCCACCTACTTGTGTTTTTTTTATGGGTGGATGTTCGGCTTGTCTCACCTGTTAATGAGAGAGATATGTCTGCATCTTTCATCTTCTTTCTGTGTTTCATCTGCCACCCACTCTGTGCAAAAACTTTCTTTGTCACCGGAGTTTCTTCCCTTAAGTCTCATCACCTTTTTTTTTAAAGCCATGTGTCACTGCTGTGATGCTGCTGGCATGCAGTCTCCTTTGGCTCATGCATACACTGCTGCCTTTGTTCACTTCTGCTTGTATTGTCAGTAAAGGAGGAAAAGGTGATATTTAGCATGAACATACATACAAAAAGCTGATTTAAAAAAAAGCATCTGTCTCTTACATCAAACCGGCTTGAATTCTTCAAAAACCTTAATGAAACGTAAAAAATAATAATTTCCCTAAACAAAGACGCCTAAACCAAGAAATATCTGGAAGAGATGTAAACTCACCATGATGCAAAATGCAGCAGCATTTTTGCTCTTTGTTGTGTTATTTATTTATTTTTTGGGGCTGTGGGCGAGACAATTGTTAAAGACTTCACAAATCAAACAAGAGCAAGAAGAATAATTGGAAAACTCTGTTTATTTAAACACAAGACAGATCCAAGGATAAACTCTTGATGACTGCAAATAAGGCACCTACTTTGAATGCCAAACTGAAGGTGATGGCATAGCGAGATGAGCAAAAGGAAATGTTATGGAAGCTTTATATGTAAACAATACACATGTAATTGGGTGTATGAGTTTACAGAAACATCTATGTAAGAATAATTAGAGCAAACAGGTCTGTAATCCAAACAGGTTTTGAAATACAAATCTTCTTTTGGAAAATAAGCTTGTATGAACGATGCAAACAGCAACTTTTAAACAGAGAGTGCACGAGGAGAATTGGGCTTGTGCATGCTCTTGCACGCCTTTAATAGGCGTTTTTCCTCTCAGGAGCCGGTACAGGGTTGTGCATGTAAATTTTTTCTTTTGCAAAGTGGGAATGAAAGTCTTTTCCAAAATCCGCGAAAATCCTCCACTATACCTTTAAATAAAAGAATATATTTTTCTGAGTTGGAACTAGGTTTTAGTTTATTTTTTAAAGTTACAAAAAATATGTATTTCCTCAAACGGTACATGGAGAAAAATATTTAATGCCACTCCAAAGTTTTTTCGCCCCTCATAGAGATGTGAGCAAAAGAGCAAAATTATGCTGCGTTTATTTTCAGTGGCATAATCTCTTAGGTGATAGCCTTCCAGTTTCTGATTTTTAGATGCCAATATTCTCCACTGTCTATTTGGACTCCAGCATAACACTGACTAAAAGCACTTTGCTAGGCTGTATTTTGCTAGCCTGGGTGCCAGTCCGAACTTAGTTCCTCCCACAAGGTTTGAGTCGGACTACGTCAGGCTAGTATTTTGCACTTATAAACAGTAAATTAACATAGCAGAAAAAATAACGATGTTAGTGTCAAACTGTTTTTGTTGTTTGAACTGTCCTTCCTGGCAATAAGTCTGATAATGTTGAAAAGGTTGTGTCTTAAATGCTGATAAATGTTTGTTGGTTAAGTTACATAGTTGTTTGTGCTCTTAAAAAGCAACCAAATCCAAAAAGAAAGAAAGAAATTAGTGTGAGCAGTGTGAAGATGTGATGCACTCATTCCCTGGCAAAGAAAAGCTTACCATCACCGGAGGCAATCTGAGTCAGAAAGATACTGAAATGAGATAGGAAGCGGCAATTGGATATCTCTACTCATAGGGACCGATCTCTGTCCTCCATGTTGTCAATGCTTGTCCCTATAGAACAGCATTTATCAGAGATATACTCCAGAATTTGGTAGTGGAAAATGAAATGGGCTGCTTGTCGTCCTGCTGCTCCGCTGCTCCAGTGCATTTTCATCAAAAATTTCACAATTCAACGGTAAATAAAAATATTTATTGTCAGGAAGCAGCCTTGAAACAAAGAAATAGTTAATGAAACACAATTTGTCTTGATTTTCTTTTCTCTGAGTATGTTTAACAAGAAAAAAAAGACTGTTGTTTTGATTAAAACGTAGTTTGTGAGATATTTTCATAAAACTCTCCCCTTTTTTTTTTTTTAAAAAAAAGGCAACAATATTTCCTGTATTTATTTACAAAAATTAATGTTGCATTTTATTTGAATTTTGGAAACTCATATGGTTTGGTGAAATCAGCCATTTTTTTTTTTTTATTAATGCTATTACAAGATAAGTTTCACATAGTTATTGTGCTAAACCATAACATAAAAAGGTAATTGAGGGTTAGAAAATGTAAAGAAAAAAAATATTGTGTAGATGTTTGATTAAATTGAAAGCAAAATGTGCAAAACAACCAGCTTATTGATATTGATCAGTAAACAGCTCTTATTGAACACAGATTTTTCTTCTTGGCCTTTTATTGAAGAAATGTGTTTCGTCGACCCACTGTGGAGGTGCATGGGGAACATTGATTTCGCTATTGATTTTGTGTCATGTCTGCATTAAAAATTCACCTGTGATCTTTCTTCTATCTTCAAATCATGCTTTAGGGATTTCGCCTATGTGGCCAGAGACAAAAACACACGGGTGCTGAAGTGCCACGTGTTTCGATGTGATACTCCTGCAGCCGCCATCGCCACAAGTCTCCACGAAATCTGCTCCAAGGTGAGGATCATTTTTGTTTCCACCTTCGCATAAGTCTGCCTTATAAAATGAAGAGAGAGAGCAGTTCTAAATCTGTGCAGCTTTAATTGACAGAGGAAATTACTTGTTCTGGCTGCTTTAATAAATAGCGTACCATAGATATTTACATACTAGTAGGGCTGTAATCTGAACTCACCAATTGTGAAACTATAGGTATTTTTACTGTAGAAGATTAAGCCACTTTGCAGCCTTTTAATCATTGAGTCTTTCACATCATGGAGGAAATTTGTTTTATGCTTTAAGACCCCGTTTCACTTGATTGAGGTTTGCAGATTAGTTTCTACACAGCGTTCTTAAATTAGATCTACCCCATGAACACCAAACTGAACACTGAAATTTTATTAAGTAGTCTGTCATGAATGTGAGCTTGTGCTTGAAATCCCACATCCCTTTATCCCTTTTGAAACTAATTATTACCTAAAATATATATATATATATATATATATATATATATATATATATATATATATATATATATATATATATATATATATATATATATATATATATATATATATATATATATCATTATCAAACATTATATTTGCATGTGTAAGATTTAGAATTTTACAAGATTGTCTGAAATAAAGTCATTAATTTATTCATTCGTTCATTTATTAATTAATGAATTAATTCATCTTTTTCCTGTTACATAAAAAATACTTATTTGTGAACCTTAGCTCTTGGACTGATGGCGTTCAATTTGACGTCCTAAAAAGTACGTAATGGTCTATAAATGGAATGTGCTTAGCTTCTGTGGGTACAAAACAAGCCCAAATCATCTATCAACCATTACCATGCGTTAAAAATGTTGTGATATTTGTGGTGATATGCTTAAACATCTCTTTGTGCTCAGCTGCTCCAAAGCAAAGCCAAGCCAAAATAAAGCCATACTTGTCACTCTTTTTTCCAGTTGTTCAGCCACAAACTTTTCTCATTTGCTTTCTGAGGCCTTCTGGGAATTATGCAAATTCTCTGAGAACTTTAGAGGTCTTATTTGCTCAGATGTCCTTGTATTAAATCACTTGCAACTGTCTTTAGTGTTATACAATTTATTAATCCTTTTATTACAATAAATTACAGACTTAAGATTGCTTTATAAGGCCCAGTAACCCTTCCAAAATGCTTAACTAATATAATTCCCAAAGTCTTTTCACTGATAATTTGTCTAACATAGACCTGTCTACTGTAGACCAGCAAACTGCTTAAACCCTTTTAGAGGTCAGAGTTGTTTATGATCAGTTAATAAAATAAATGTGATTAACAGCATGTGGCCACTCATTTCCATCTTAAGGTTATATTAAGTCAATATAGGGGTACTTAGCTTTTCTCTGTCAACTTAAAAAGAAAAACAAATATCGATATTTTTTGGAGAAATTGAATGGATTGAGTTCTGTAAATTTTTCCATCCTATTCATAATTCTCTAGGTCATGAAAATGACTCTTGTCTATTTACTTCCTTTGTTTATTTACTCTAAATATTCATTTGGTGGTCAAGGTTTGTATCTAATTCGGAGGGCTTCTATACTTTGTAATAACCCTGTGCAGCTTAGTTTATTTACCTAAAACTTTGTGAATGATGTGCATGTTAATAAGTAGGACTGCATAGAAGAATAAGACAATATTATAAAATAAATAAAAACCTTTGAAATATGCAATCAAATCAAAGCTGCTATATGATATCTACATGTATGTGCAACCATTTGAAAACTATCTGTTAGGATGGAATATGCCGAATGAAGGGAGGCCACTTTCTCCTTCCTTAATCCAAATAACTCTTATTAAAATCATTGACGAGTCAATGCTTCAGTCTATGAAGCAATGATGATCCTTTTTACATGAGCGAACTCCTAAATGAGATTTTTTAAGACTTACATGCAAATATTCTGTGTGAAAACAGCCTGTTCAAGGTCTATAATTGGTCCTATCTTCCTTTGTTGCTCATATGGGTAAGTGTGCGACCTCATGTGAAAACTTGTAAAAAGTAGCCCATCCTTTGGCCAACAGTGCCCTTGTAAATGACAAATTATTGGAACGAGAAATAATGACCCATTTAGAGAAAAAAAAGGTGTTTTTTTTAACATGGTTTTAAATTTGTCACCCCAAACTAAAGAGAGAATCTGTATCACCGTATGTTACACAGTATAATTAACACCCTCAAACTGCTTATTTTAAACACACTACAGTTTTTTTCATCACTGCAGGGGACAAACTTGGTGACCCGAGTCTCACAGCTGAGCAGCACTTTGAATTGAGCTCTGTTTTGTGCCCTAGAGTGTGTGTGTTTGAGCCCATGAGTTTCTTTTTTGCTTGGCTGTTAGCAGAGTTGACAGACCAGCGACTTTGATTAACGACGCCTGCAGTTTATCAAATGTCTGTAGAGAGCGCATTGGCTCAGTGCAGAGGCCATGCAGAATATTCATCTCTCTTTAAATAGTGCACATCTCCAAAAATGAAAGCTGTGGCCTCAAAATCAGAAAAGGCCATGAACTATTTTTTTTTTAAAACAAACAAACTCAGGAATATGTTGATATTTATTTTTTTATCAAGTAGAATATATTACATTTCCCCAAACCATGTGTTCCTATCAAGCTCCAAAGTACTGTAGTCACACTTTTAACAAACCTTTTTCTTTGTTATTAACCAGTCATGATATATAAAACTAAAAAAAAAAAGCTTAAAGAACAAAATTCTGAATGAAGAGATTTTGTGGCATTTTATACCTCCATCATCTAAATTCCTTTTCTTTTTTTTTTTGTGAATCCCATTTGGTGAAGATTCTAAACCATCCATCCATCCATCCATCCATCCATCCATCCATCCATCCATCCATCCATCCATCCATCCATCCATCCATCTTCTATACTGCTGCCTTTCTCCAGCAGTCTTTTGTAAAATGCCCTGTCCATCACAGGGCAACCATGCATGCACACACCCACATTTCCAGGCATCTAAGGCCCACTGCAGGTACTTATGACCCAAAAAAAGACTTTTGTTTTGTTAACTGGTCACACCAAAATCAACAAAACAGTTTTAAAACCCTTGAAAGTGTATAAATCAAATCAGGCCTTTTCACGTATGTGCCCTTGAATCTGAGTCGTATCTACCATTTTTGAATGTGCCTACACTAGGAACAACCAGAGCAGATTTAATAACTTTGTCATCACTTTCCAAAGACATTTGTCACAAGTTTGCGGCAACAGTTGCTAAAGTGGTGGCAGTTAGCAGGATGGACAGCTGCTCTGTCAGCACTGCTCCCTGGAGCTACAGTGAAATGTTAGACATCGAGATTGGAAGACCTTTATAAAGGCCCTGCAAAGTTTGTGCATGATCCTGAAAACAGAGGACTTTGAAATGCCATTGAGGTGAACCAACAAATATAATCTATCCCAGTTGAAATGCAATATAATGGATTGCAATGTGTCCTGCTCTACCAATCGAGAGGATTTGAACGTATCCTCAACATCTTAAAGTTGTAAATAAGCTTGGTCTCTTAGGTTGTTGACATCCCTGCATTCAAATCTCAGAGGGCCTTGAGGTCAGAGGTTGGGGATGCCTGTTACAGAGCAACAGGTAAATGTAGAAAGGTGTGAGACATCCACCTGTGTGTAATGATCTGTAGTATGCAAGGACATTGAATATTATATGGGTGTATTTTTTAATGTATTAATTCATTATTAGTGCAAACGCTCTTGAGTTCTTCACTCCTATAAGCACATTTCCCCCTAAAGGTGTGAAACATTATTAAATTAATTTAATAATTAAGCTGAGATAACACAGCTAGCACAATACTGCCCCGGGCTTGGGGGACTATATTGATATAATCTGTCCATATATCATATTTTAAAAGTGTTGCTATTCATAATACTTTGTTTAATCATCTGCAATCAAACATATTTATCAGACTCTTCGCTCACCAACTTTTCTGCCCTGGTTAAACTGCATATTTTTGCTCTCTTCCCTGCTGTTGCCACTGGTAACCAATAAATAACATTGATCAACTGGCTCATTTGAATAAACAATGACGTTCCTGCTGTGCGCTGCATGAACTATTTTTGGTTGAATGTGGGCGTGAAGAGGGATGTGAATGAGGTGAAGCCTTGTAAGCACACTTTAAGCAACACCTTTGATCTTTGTAGGAAAGTTCTGCTTTGTTCTTTTCTGCTGTTTTTCCTGCATCTACATGGTGTGATAAAGGAGATTTCATTTTTTGGCGCTCGTCATTTTCAATTTTTTTTGTTGACTAAAGCAAAGCAGATTTGCTCCCATTATGTCTTCATGTTATCTACTGAAAGTGTTGCTCTTGCTCACTGTGTTGCAGTCATATTTTCTGAAGGTTGCTTCCTGTTATTGTTATTCTGAACTTTAATTCTGGTCATTATCTTCATCTGATTTTTTTGTCAATACATATTACACTTAGTTGTTCACTTCATATCTTTTTTATATATCTTTTTTTCTTTTCAGATAATGGCTGAAAGAAAAAATGCAAAGGCTGCAGCCTGCAGCTCCTCCCAGAATGGCTCTGATGTGCCCTTACAGGGTAAAACACATTTTCATCATATCAGATGATACTACAATGAATTTTGGGGGGGAAAAATTAGCAGCCATAGAATATTTAGCATTCAAAGTTCCCTTCATGTCAAGCCTTTATGCTTTTTAAATAAAAAAAATATGCTGCCAAGAACCCCTATGTACAGAAAGAACAATAATATTGGGTTCGGTTTCCTTTATAAAAAGATAATTCCAGTAAAAAAAAAAAGAAAATACAGTATTCTAGAGGGTGAGTTCTTTAAATTCAATTCAAATTAAAAGATACTTTATTGATCCAAAAGGGAAATTAAGATGCACTGTAAACAATTTTTCCCTTATTTTGACTGCTTATATGTCTTAGCCCTAATAAAAGTCCAGTAGAACCCGTCCTCAGCATCACAAAGGAGTCTTCAAAATAGACTAGAGCTGTTAGTTTACCTTTAATGTGGTTACAGATTCTCAGAATGATAATAGATTCAATGCTTTAAGTAATCATTAAAAATGTTAATCACAACTGAAAGAAAATTCAGCAAAAGGTTGAGATACCCTTGTATAATGAATGATACCCAATACATTTAACAAAATCAAAAGATATCTGAAAACAATGAAAACAGGCTCTGTTGCGGCTGTTAAATGGTCAGGATTGCATTCAGATGAGTCACAACCTTCTGCACTGTGATTAGTCTGGTACGTTTTACACTGGAGTGTCTGAACATTACCAGACTGACTTACGGCCATTTAAATCAGTCTGACTGGCCAGGCTAGCCAGATTAATTCCCACACAGGCTCCTTTGGAAGCACACAGTGGCTATAGCAAGCATGGACAGGAGTACAGAAACCAGAGAGAATGAAACAGCCATGTTTTTGAGTTTGCTAGAGCAGCAACAACCGTTTAACGTTCACTACCACACTTGCTTATTCTGGGGGGTTGAATGTCACAAATTCTCCGTTGAACCTCCGGTCTTGTGTGGCCGTTGGTCTGTAGAGAGAGTTTGTACACAGCCAGTATGTTAAAGAAAAGAAAACCACATCACAGCTTGTAGAATCAGATGGAAGCAGTGTGTTCTGGCCAGTCCTAAGTCTATGTATCAGTAAGCAAATCCCACTGGTCTCTAGTGTCCTTCCCAAACCCAAGTTTTAAAGTCAGAATTAAATGCTGTACCCAGTTATTGAACTTTTTCAACTTGAAGCTTTTAGCATCACAACACAGTTGCTTTGAAAATTTCTGCCAGAGTTTAAAAACAATGGTTCTAGATGTTGGCCTATGCTGGTGCTACAATGACGGCAATAAGTTATGCCATTTATGACCCAAGCAAAATTCCTTCTTGTTTATTTTCATATAATTCTCAGATCTAACAATTTCAATCAACTCTGTTCTAAGAACAACTGCTCTTTTTCTAAATGTTTTTATTTGTATCCTTTTGATTAAATGGAATATATAGTGTTTCACTATATAATGTTTTATTTTGTAATGTCAGAAATACTTTCTGGTTAATACAGGTGCTTTCTGAGGGCCCAACATTTTGCCATCTGTGCTGATTGAACTGTAAATGGTTGCTTTCATCACTTATTTTGTTATGCAGTCATCTCTGCACCACAGGCCAAATGTATAGACAGCTACCAGCAGGGTTTCCCCACATTCAGCCCTTCAAAATACAGCATGCTTCTCTCTGTTGTTCATGCTCTAATCATGTTAACAGCAGAACAAAATAGTGCTTAAAGTATAAGCATTCAAATATTCCACAGAATATTTGAATGCTTACATTTTGCTTATATTTAAAAAAAAAATCTGATCCTATCCTCTGGATAAAATATTCTGAGTGTGTATTTTCTCTCTGTAGAGTTCCCCATGCCAAAGACTGAACTGGTGCAGAAGTTCCATGTGTTCTATCTGGGTGTGACATACGTCTCTCGCCCAATAGGTAAACCTTAAATCATGCCCAAATCCCTTCCCTATTAATTTCTTAATTTTAATAATCCCTATTTATTTTTCCTCAGGTATGGACATTATAAACGGGGCCATAGAAAACCTCCTGTCATCCACAGGAAAAGAAGAATGGACCCCTGTTATACTGAGTATCGCTGACACCACGGTCGCTGTCATTAAAGAGAAGGCAGGGGATTTATGACTTCCCAGGGATTTGAAATAAATAAGAGATGAGAATATGCTTATCAGTTGAAAAGAGAGGCAGATTGGGGCTTTGACTTTTCTCTTTGGTGGCTGCATAGGAAGAAGAAGAGGAGGTGCTGGTGGAGTGCCGCGTGCGTTTTTTGTCCTTCATGGGCGTGGGACGGGATGTGCACACGTTTGCCTTCATCATGGACACTGGGAATCAGCACTTCCAATGTCATGTCTTCTGGTGTGACCCAAATGCAGGCAGCGTCTCTGAGGCAGTGCAGGCAGCTTGTGTAGTAAGTACTGAAAATAAAACTCCAAATACCTGAACTTTTCAGACCCAGAGCATACAATACCTTTTTTTTATTGTGTAAAAAATACAGGTTTTAGTGTGAATTCTTTAATGCATTTTCTCAATGTTTGGGTTTAGTATCCAATTGTTTGCCACAACATGCATGCATGTTGTGGCAAAAACCACAGTAGAAACATAATGGCATGAGCATGCATAGTCAATGTCAAAGCCCGAGGAGTCAATTATACTAAAGCTAAATCTAATGCAAAATTTTTTGCAATAGGATTTTGAGCTCATTTCATCTTGAAAACAGTTTAAGTTTTGTTCTATGTATGAGACATCAAGCTTCTTTTATCTTGATTACAGTTTTGTTTTCTCCCTTTATTAAGATTAACAGAAATAGTTAAAATCAAGATATTTTCATGTTTTTGTTTAATTATATTTAGATATCAGTGCCTTTCCTGTCTTCCTGTAATGATAAAAATTTGATGTCATATTGATATAATAAATCCAGCATGTATTCAAGGGAAGTGTTGGCCTAGTAGTTAGTGCAGTGCACTTGTGCTCTGAGAAGGTTATAGAGCAAGACCCTTAAACCCACACTGCTTCCTGGGTGCTGCACAATAGCAGCCCACTGCTCCGCAAGGGGATGGGTTAAACGCAGAGGTACATTTTTCCAATGTGAGATCAGTAAAGTTCAATTATTATTTACATGATGCAGACTAAACCTCTATCTTTATACATCAGAAAAAGAGAAAAAAAAATGACTTTGCTTTCATATTATTAAAGGGGATTTCTACCTACTTAAATTAAGATGATAAGACTTCAGGTCGTTTTTCTCATGGTCACAGTTTTACTATATTGAGCCTTGACCTAAATTTGTCATGTTTGCTTTTAATTATTTCAAAGTACTGAGATCACATACTACGCTTGTTTTTTGTGATAACAGTTTCCCTGCTGACAGCAGCTTCATTATCCAATTATCTGATTATAAGAAAGGCTTAAGCTCATTTTATTTGTGCCCAAACTGGTGGGAAACATTTTCTTTTTTTAATAAGCCAGAACAGATTCTTAAAAATGATCCATCTTTTAAAAGAACAGGTTTGATTTACTAAAAGACTGAGCTATGTTTCCTCAGTTTAGAAACAACTCAAATTTTTCAAGCTTATTTATAGACAGTTTAGTCTGTAAAGTCATGCTGAGCCATTTCCCTAAACAAATTGGATTTTTTTGGATGGAGTAGGTTTTTCTTTTCCCTTGACTGATCACGTGTAATTATGAGAAACAGAGGAGAAAATACACAAGATCCTTGGTTGAATTCTAATTTAAAAGCTCAAATACATACACACCCTCTCTTCTCTTCTTCCTCAGCTTCGGTACCAGAAGTGTCTGGTGGCAAGGCCGCCTTCTCAGCGAGCTGGCTCTTCCTCATCTCCCTCCTCAGACTCAGTAACACGCCGAGTGACCACCAGTGTTAAACGCAGTGTCCAGTCGCTCATAGACACTCTGAAACCCAAGAAACAGCCGTCGGAGCTTCCCCAATGACCATCGCCAAGTGTATTGCACCCCACCCCAGCCTGGATACCACTCTCACAGTCACCACCAAAACACTTAATCCGTGCCAGACATTGTATTAAATGATGTACAGACATTATACCAACTATAACAGCGGATGAAGGAAACAGCCTGACCACCTTTGAAAAGAAAACTAACCCTGTCGATGTGTGAATGAATGGAAGCTCACATTAATCTAAGAGCTTCGATCTTTGCCCAGGAGAAAACATCTCAATTTTGTGGATATCTTCACTTGATGGATTACTTGAACTTTCGCTGGACAGAGAGGTCAACCCAGGCAGAAAAAAAATCTAATTTTTATTCTCAGACTGCTTATGAAGCAACTCATTGGTATTATTCTTTTTTCCCCCCTCCAGTTCTGAGCTTGTGGACTTGGATGAGCAGCAGTAGCCTTCAAGAAAAAAATAAATAAATAAACAGACGTTGACTTGCTGTTGCTGCAAAAAGATTTAAATATGGATGACAAAATCATCCAAGATCGAACAGACAAAAAACCTCATCAGCTCACATGCCCAACAAATGTTATAAAACTTGTCCAGCAGAGAGAATAATAGGACCATTTCATGTAGAATGAAGTGATTGTATTAATGCTGTGTACGTAAATGACTTTATTTAGAAAGAAAGGAAATCGAGCACAAAAATTTGTAGATAAATATTAACGGTAAAGCTGAGAGAATGGTAAGGATAGATGGGAGGATTAGTTTGATTTTGCATGTTTTGTTAAAGGGGAATTATAAAAATGAGTTTTGGAAAGATATGCATATTGATGAGAATACTTGTGAACACATAAACAGAAAAAAAGAGAAAATAGAAATGCTTTCTGCATAATTTATCTTCACTTGTCCATAGATTAACACTGGCACAAGAGCATCCCACCCCTAACTGAAGAGCCTACTGCCCCGTGTGTAAAAAATAAATGCTAAGGATTGTATTTCTTTTCTTTAGCTACTTGAACGAATAGCTTAAGAAAACAAAGTAGTTTTTAGTGCATTTAGAGGCTTAAGATTGTAATTTTTGTTATATTATAGATAAATGATTTTAATATCTCAAGAATGTTGAATTGATTCTGTTTAAACTTGACAAAATGCTCAGGAAATTGTATGAGGATTGCAACAGAGGCCAGAAATTCCAGATCCAGGCTTTTTTTTTTTTTTTTTTGGTAAATGTGAAGATTCTGTGGCCAAAAGTGTTTCTCATTCTTCCTATGGCCCAGAAAAAAAGAAATATGCACAAGCAGCATAACTATCGGAGAAATTACCTGTATTTTTATTTTAAAATGAAAAATTATAGCCAGTGCATATTCACATGACGATACACAAGCAAATCCACAAACTCACAAAATATAAACAGTAAAGAAAAAAAAATATTTTTACAAAGCTACTTTAGCTTGGGACCATCACCTGCACTCAGTGTGAGCTCTGTGAATGGAGTCTATTTTAAGTAAAAACCTCACAAAACAAACAATAGAGATGTGACCCATTTCATTTCTGTTTGTCAGCCACCTCTACACAGTGTAAATGTAATCTGTTGTGACAATAAATGCATTAACAAAATGAAAAAAGTAAGCAGCCTCTTGACTGGCTGGTGGAGTCCCTAGTTGCTCTTCATTGTGATCCAGTGAAGCCCGCTATATTAAATTGCTGTATGCAGTAAGACCATATTCTAACTGTAAAACAAATGCATTGTGATCATGGTAGATATTATGATGGTGGAAATGATTGCAATGTCATTGTTTTAAATATCTTCAAAAAGGATCATTTCATTGTAACATTTGCTGCAAAATTTGGTCCTCTTCTTGTAAAAGTTGCTATAAACAAATATCACCCATAATATTAACTAACCTGCATGTGCATTTGTTTATATCCATTCATTCAATACATATAGTAACTATTAATATGCATATTATTTCAAAGCTAAAGTTATTTAAGTTGCACATTCAGAAAGAGCAAGTTGGCCAAAGTGCTTCACAGTAAGATCAACATTTGAACAGAAGAGTTGAGATTTCTAAGAACTGTTTAGAGTCTCCTACTGAATTATTCAAAGATAAGATTTAAGACACACAACAGCTAATTACTTCAATACATGATGGTAGACAGAATAAAATTGTACCATAAAATGTGTTGCTTTATTGAGGAGAGAGACTAGATTGTAACCTGGTCTGTGCAGCTGTCACATCCAGGAACAAAATCCCTCGGTGAGAGTATAACTACACAAGCCTTTCTTTTCTAAAGGTTATTAGTTTTTCATGAGCTGGAAATACATCACATAGAATATATGTAAAAAGATTTTGTTTTTATAGTAAATGTGAGTAGAAATTAAAATCCCAGCAAAAAAAAAAGAAACTAACTGTACTCCCAGTCACCGACTCCACCCCCTACAGTACAGTAGATTTTCGGTAGAAAAGGTTAGCTGGGGAAGGAAAAGTAAAATGCGCTTATAAGATCAAAAAGGCATCGCAAAAGAAGAAAGATTAAAAAAAGATTAAGACTTAAGACAGCGCAGGCGGCACAATTCACAGCGCACGTGACAGGAAACGCGCATGCTCGCTAAAGGCGCAAAACAGCCACCCAGTGCTTGCGCCACAGGGGAACTATGGAGATTATGAACGATCAAATGTTAGCCTATATGGAGAAAGGGAAAAATATGGATAGATGGATGTTGCAGTATCTATAACAACCCAAACACACAGGATTTCAGAATTAGACATCCCCAGTTATTAATTTCATACATTTACCAGCTCTGAACGCCCTGTTTAAAAACTCGATTTACCGATCGATCTACGTTCCTACCCTCATCTATGGTCATGAGCTTTGGGTCATGTAAGTATGTTTATTTATTATTGCATTTCTTACTTTTACAAACATTACTGCACAAAAGAAGACTAGACATACAGAGTAGTTAGAGGGCTGCCAAAGCAGTCATGACCATTGGTAGGTGTTATCTATTGCTGCACAAACATAACTAAAATCAACTAAGACAGAAGAACGAAAGTTGGGAAAATAATATATACAGCAAAAGCAATTTTAGCACTGTTAAAACGATTGAGAATAAATCAGATGGGTATGAGGTTAGGAGAAAAAAAGAGAAAATGGATCAGTAAACGATAAAACAAGGATTTAAAAGAAAATCCCAAAAGACAAAAATAAAATTAAAAGGGATTAGTTGATATTAGAAGTGCTGATACAGCAGATGTTATCTTGAATTTAAATATTGAAAAATGTTGTGAAAACATTCTGGTCTGAATTGAGACATTCTGGTCTGAATTGTGGCAGTACATTTTTACAGTTTTTATCAGCCTATGGATGCAAGAGGTTCCAGAGAGATGGTTTACTATTTAACAAGGGATGGGTACCTTTTACTTTTAAACTGATACAGTACGGGAATCATGTCAGAACCTTTACTACATTTTAAAGAGTATGCTTATTTTTACCTGGAACAGACAAAGAAGAAAATGCAGCTGCCTCACCCATGTTGTTAGCTGCAGGCTATGAGTTGCTAACAGAATAAGGTTTGCTAATGCTGCTTAAATTGAATGCAATCATTTTGTGCACTTTTCTGCTTTGTGAAAAATCTTGCACTTAACAGAAAATACTTCCTGAGATAAGAAGTGTTTCCTGCAACTGGCTTCGCACCCCAGGTCACAAATATTGCAGTGAGCTTAATAAGCATCAAATTTCGTGGACCTATACTCTGGACTGCTTACTTTTAGCCATGCATGCTTTGTTCACTGCACCGGCGGCTTTTAAAATCATCACATTCTTTTCTGTTCAGTGCTTTGCTGTGAACAGGTATTCAGTAGTATCAAATTCAGTTCCCGATTATACATTTAACCCAAACCAAATATAAAATCTGTGTTGATGTCCTATTTTAAATCAGGGTACAGCTTATGAGAGCCTGGAATTGAAAATTCAATTCACTTTATTTATATTGCGCCAATTCACAACACATGTAATCTCAAGTCACTTTACAGTTCACCAGATCATACAACCAAATTGATTCAAACTTTTCTAAATAAGGAAAACCAGTTGCATCGACTTATTGACTCGAAAACAATCCCTCACAATAACAATGATTGTAGTGACAGTAGAGAGGGAAAAACTCCCTTTTAACAGGAAGAAACCTCCAGCAGAACCAGGCTCAGTTTGAGCAGCCATCTGCCCAGGCCAAATGGGGCTCAAGGAGGCAGAGAAACAAAAGGCAACTGTAAAAGATGACCCCGTCCAGCAAACACACAGACGAACTCAGAGCCAGCTCCCATGTCAGAGGATGAAGAGAGCACATCCAGCCAGTCACAGTCAGAGAAACAGGACTACACTAAAAAACAGACCGATTTCCAACATCTATAAACGAAGGTGTTGATGGTAGCAGCACAGCTGATATTTCTCTCCAGGATGGAGTCACAGGCCAAACAGGAACAGACGAGGCCAAGCTACTATGACAAAAAGCAGAGAGAGCATAACGTTAGAGATTGAACTAACAGATTCCGCAGAGTGGGATAATAGAGATAGAATGATTCTCTCATTGACAAAGAAAAAGGAAATTAAATTTCTTTCCACTTTCCATAAATTTAAAAATGTAAAACAGACATTAAAAACTGGGCAGCAGAGCCTAGAGTCTTAACTAACATACCATATATATGTATGTATACATCTATGAATAACAGACCATACATACATACATACTATACAATAACAGCCTTATTTGTGAGCAATTCCAGTATGTGTCTAAAACAAAGATGTCATAACTTCCTTGTGAACCAAAGGATGCCCAGAGGAAGTGTAACTAATCATTTAAGGTAAAGAAAATGAGATCTTTCCCTTCAGACCTGTTGGACATGGGGCAGAAAGGGATGTAACTCAGCTTAAATAATATTGCATTAGACATTATATAATCATTGGTTATGCTAAGGCATTGACTGTTTATAGAGGAGACGGCCACTATGTCCTTGTTGTTGGATGCAGGGTCACCTGCTGTCTCAGCAGCAGCAGCTTACACTGCAAGCCACTGCTCTCTTTATTGCCTGAATTATTCAGGAGCGCAGTGAACACTTTGGGGACATGAAGCCTGCGTGAGTTTTCTATGCATTTTGCATTCTGGTTTGAACTTCCGACGGCTAAAGTTTTTCTATATATAGGTGGTCATTTACACAGGTATGTGGTTAACTGCATGAGGTACATCCATGTACATGTTCTCACAGATATGATGCTGTTTATAGAGTTAGACGTTTTTAGAGGAACCTCTTTTATGCAGTCATCAGTAGAGAGGACCTGAGCTTTGTTGATGCTAACTTGTACAGACAGGGGGCGCTGAATTATTCAACACTCACTCAGCTTTGCCTCTCGTCCATCCCCATTGCCCCAGTAGATCTCACTTCCACTCCATCTCCACAAACTAATTGCACCATTCCACTCAAATTTCCTATTTATGTCCAAAGTCCGCTAAACTTGGCTTCTACGCTATTTTCTCCTGCTAAAGCCTACACTCTATGTCAACGATTGTTAAGTTCAAGAAATTTTGGAAAGAACATTTAAATTGATCAAAATTTCCATAAATAAAAGGAAAATTACAGAATTTTTATATTGTAGTGCTTTAAACCCGATATAGTCATTGTTAAAGGCTCATTTTACAACATGTTAAATTTCCACTAACACTTTAGCGAAAAGTTTAATTTTTGTACCAGCTGATCAGAAAAATGCGAAACTGATCTAAACATCGTGGAAATGTTTTTAAAATAATTATCCTTAATTTGAGTAGGTAAATAAAATTATCTGGCAATGGAAAAAATATTTTCGCCCTTAAAATAAAATTATTAGATATTATGCACTTGATGTGAGAAAGCAGTTGTTGTTTTTATTATTATTCAAAGTGTAAATTGTCTTATTCTATTGGCAAATTGTCTCAATTATCTGCTCAATCAAAAAATGCACTTATCTAAAAAAAAATTTTACTTTGGTTTTAATTTTTTACAGTAAACATTCGATGTGTTTGCTGCACCCCTCTACACAATTACATGCAAGATGCAAATAGAAGATTGTATTGATCAATTCAATCAATGGCTTTGTTCTTGCCACTCTTCCAGTTTTTCTGAAGCAATACAAATAGTTAAACAGCCAACAGATTCTCCCACATGAACCATGGATCTCTGCAGCTCATTCAGAGTTACCATGGCTGCTTCTGCTCTGTCAAGTTGCCTTTTCCTTTTCAGACACTGGATTAAACAATGCTTTATTAAATGTTGAGAAGAAGTTGGAATTTGGTTTTATAGCTACATAGGCTACTGCTGTTAACTCCTGCAGAACCCAACCTTTGTCCTGTCTGGCCAGATTCTGATATTTGTGATGCTGTTTAATCATGATTTTTAAACTGTTTATTTTCAGTTCACATTATTACCCTATGAGCTGACTTCATAAAGGAATTAGCTACAGAATTTTTAGAGCTACAGTGTTTCACAACAAGGAGATCCTAGTCTGTGGAGTTCATGCTCCCTTATTTTGTGTTTGTGAGTGGTTGTGGATTGTGTTTCTCTGTCAGGGCCGAGGTGGGTAGAGTACCCTAAAATTGTACGTAACTAAGAGTAGCATTGCTTCATCATATTTTTACTCTAGTAAAAGTAAAAAAAAGTAGCCTTTAAAGAAATGACTCAAGTAAGAGTAGAAAAGTTGCCTTTAAAGAAATGACTCAAGTAAGAGTGAAAAAGTATTTAATTAAAAGGCTACTGAAGCATTTAGTAAGTGATGTACTTACTACCCATGACCATAACTACTAATTTAATATTTTGTAAAACTACTCCTAAAGGTTTTTTTTGTTTTTAAGTTAGTCAAGTAAATGTAACTGATTACC